ATGACAAGCCAGTAAGTTGACCGAATTCCCTCAACCCAAAACGAAAAGGTTGTCCACCAAATACTATCCAGACCTCATATTTTTTTCTTGGTAACAACTTGTCTGGTTAATAGAGCGTGGATGAGCTTACACGATATAGGGCATCTGACGGCTGGGAGTTCAAATAGATGGCGGAAAGGGGAGTTTAAAATAGTTTCCAACTCTGGAGAACCTCTCAACACATCAAGGAGAAAGGTAAGGGTGTCTGGCTTGGAGTAGACGTTGATACGGTTGACTGGGAATCTGTCCGTAGCAAACAACCGCGGCGGTAAACGGTCGTCGCATTCTTCGTCGGGAACTGAATTTGCAAACGAAATTTGGGATGGGATTTATAAGAGTAAAGAATAATAAACGGTAAACAATACTGAAACAGAACAATAACAGCAAATCTCTAAAGAGTTTTTCGAACAAGAGATCATATACCTGACATATTCGGAAATTGGAAAAATACGATGAAGGGAAAGGGCTACAGGATGACAAATGAGCGATGGAGAAGCAAGAAACCGTTTAATTTCTAGTCGGCAATGACAAATGAGTTATGGGATTTAATGGCCGCGACGGAAGAGATATGAAGACGGCGGCGACTGTGGAGAAGAAGTAGGGTTTCGACGGTAAGGAAAGAGGATAGAAAAGAAATTACAGAACAGTAAATAATCGGTGTAGTTAAAGTGTCGTTTGGGAAAGGGTAAGTAGTTTTAAGGCAGAGATGTCTTCTCACGTAATAAAAGTATACCAATAGTTGAAAGTGTCTTTCTGTGTAAGACAAAAGACAAAAAGTGCCTTATTGTGTAAATTATTCTAAACATAATTCATTTACCCATAAACTTAAAATGTCAGTCATCCCAGAGTCAAAACCTAATGTGCAAGTGTTGTACATTATGCAGCGCAATGTTGATGTTTAACTATTGTGGATTGTGGACATTTTAGATTTCCAAAAATCTTTTCCTGAACTCAATAGCATAGAAACATATGTGTGTTCTCTCTGGTTGGGGTACAACACCCCAAACACTATTTGCCCATCATTTGGATTTTCATTTACTCAATTTCCATTGTATGATCTCATCCAAATCGTGAAAAGATTTTTATTAATCAATTTTTTGTTCACAATTTTTTCCCAAACTGTAGTAGTTCCCAACCCAGCAAAAGATGAAAATGTCAATCCTAGGATACCATCAAACACCAGCATCTCAAAGAACTCATTAGGAATAGTCGCCTCCACAAAATCTTGCATCTCAAATAGAATGCTATAGAATGCTATAACAACCATACCATTATCATGAGCTAGGATACTTTTAAAATAAACCTATTTTATATTTAATATCCACAATTTGTTCTTTTATTTTATATTTAATATCCAAAAAAAATTAAATTATTCGGCCCTTTTTAGTTTTAGAAAGTTCTTTAAATACTACATACCTTTTAAAGTAATTTCTTAAGAGTTTGGACCTATTTTTGGAGGATTTTTTTATTAATATAAGCTGTTTTAAGTATATAAATATATATATTTTATAAATACCATGGTTCAGGGACTATTCTTTAAGCGCTCCACTTAAGTCAAGCTTGTACAAGTTTTGTTTGAGTGTTTTAGCCCTTCAGCTTGAAAGCCTCGAACGCATATTTCTGGTTTTATTACTCAATTTTATCTGTTTTATACAATAATAGCTTTTATACAAGTAATCACAACAAGAAAAATGAATCACGAAATTATCACTAAATCTTATAATAATTAATTCGATTAAATTAAAGACAAGAGAACACCGACTCATCATCCCCGCGAAGAGACAAACGAATGCAAACAAAGATAGCACACAAATTTGGACATCTTTTGCACACAAACCCGTTGCATATGAAACATCTTGATTTTAAATATTGAAATACAAATTAAAAATATCCTTGTCGAAAGACACGAAACTATTTTACTTTCAAGTACTTATTAAGAAATGTTAAATGAGTCTTTCAATTGCGACTAACAAAAAGAAAATATCAATCCTTCTCTTTCTATATATTGCTCGATCTAGCAACTATAATTTTTTTAATGAACGCAACTTTAGTCAGTACAATCTAGATTAGGTACTTCAGTTACTCTATGTAAAAGCATTATACTGTTCTAGGTGACATTTATATAGACACTAGATGATTATCCGTGCAAATGCACAGAGTTTTTATATAGTTTTTAAAAAATATTTATAAGATTTATTTGTAATTTTAAATAAATTCAATTCAGAATTTTCTTTTTGAGGTTGTCATATACATGTAAAAAAAATAGTTGTTATTTTTTTTTTTTGGTATGAAAAGATAGTTGTTATTTAGTTCTTTTTAAAGTTATTTTTATTAGTTTCTTTGTTAGCTATTATTTTTTTTTCAAGGAAGCTAATCAACACATATTATACTAAACAAATCTAGAGTTGATAATCCAACAAATATTATATATAAAATATCTTGTGGTTATAAACTCAAGAAACATATCCTATAAATAAATAGGTAAAATTATTCGAAGTGATTTTCTTATTTTAATTGGTAAAGTCTTTCACAAACTTTTCTGAAATCAAAAGATGAATATAATGGAGTTCTAACTATGATACCTCAAATTGTATTAAACCCATGACCACTTCTCTTCACCAAGTTTTTAGTATGAAATCACTATAGATCTCACGTTGGAGATAGTCTCCTATGCTAAATCATCTTTCACTTGAATTTAATTGCTAATTTTAATATTCGTTAACTGAAGCGAATTTAAAAACTATCAGCCTAAATTTTCTAAAAGTGACGTCTTATGGTTCCATAGATCCATATGCTAAATCTTAAGAACACTTGCATGCTTGAAAGAATTATTGATTCTTTGGTCACACAATTCCACCCTCTTGACATTTTGGGATGCTTTATGTAGAAGTAGAAAAATTTGGTACAGAAAATTGGCATTAAAGCCCAAATCTACAACTTTAGGCAAAGAAAAATACAGAAATTGAAAACAAATAAAAAAATCCAAATTCTACAATTATGAAATTCGTCTGAAAAGACTATAATATACGAAAAAACAATTTAAAAATTCAAACTATACAGTTATAGGACTTTTATTTTATTCAAATTTGTTTTTAAAATATACTTCAGTGATTGTAGTTGTATTATTTCAAACTTTTTAAAGTTAATAAGATTTATCAGTATTTTCATTTGGTTACAAATTTTGGTTTTTACGTCTAGAGTTGCGAAGTTTTATGCATGAGAGAGACGTATTGGTAAATTTTACAAGTACTTCCCAATAATTTTGTTGCATGAGAGAAAGACGACTTTTTACAAAATAAAAATTCCTTAGTCATTAGTCATTACAGCTAAAAATATTTTATTTCTCTAAATATGTTGTATTCACCTTCTTGACTCCTTTTAAAGGGATATTATTTGGACTTCTGAGCATACAAATAAGTTTGATTACAACAGAACAAGAATTTATCAAGATTTATAATCTGAAAGCAACATACAATCTAAAAATATTTGTAATCCAAATACAGGCTATAAACAAAAAGATGATCATTCGCTTTTAGTTCCATAATTTAATGTTGTTGACTTCTTGAAATTCATTAAGCTTTCCGAAGATTATGCACTTAATCTTTTTTGTTTTCTCAAATTACACTTGATTTTTTGTTGGACCATCTTCATCAATTATCAATAGAATAAGAAGACTCACTAAAATTAAAAATAAAATAAAAATTTTAACAAAAAAAATAGAAGAAGAGGAGAAGTGTATTGTTCCTAAAATTCTTTTTGTACCGTATTTAATGGTATGACTTTGCTGTTTTCTAAATAAATTAAATATCAATAAAATAAATTTTAATTTATTTTGTAAATCTGATGTGTCAAAATAGTAGATGTTGATGAGTCAAGATTGTGAGACACAATCCAACTTTTATATAATAGATTTGACTAATACAAATAATTTCTTTTGAGGATTACTGACAAACATAAAGAATGTGATAAATATCATAAGATACCACGAAAAGAAAATTTACTAAATAATTTGAAAAAAATAAAGATGCCAAAAACTTTACATTAGTAAAAGTACAATTTTTTTTCTTAAGCTTAGATATAGTTCAATTTAATACTATATGTTAAAGAGAAGAATATTAAGAATTTGAAAAAAAAAAACTTAAAACGAAATGGTTTTACAGTTCTGTAAAAAATCAGAAATTTTTATAAAACTTAACGTTCATCCCAGGAAAAAAGAAATTGGTTCTATAATCACTTACTCATTCCTTAATGTTTGAATCTTCAACCTAAAGTTAAGGTTTGTAATTTTCGGATTGGGTGATAGTTCTTTTCTTTGAGAATTGTTCATAATTTTAAATTTATATAGAAAGTAGTAAATGATGACGTTAGCTCAGAAAGAAGATAAAAAGTGGCACTATTCTAACATGTTGTAGAAGTGTAGAACATGGGTTTGATCAGAACCTAACATCAATCTTCAGGAAGGTTCGTGTTTGGTTTCGTAGACAAATAAATTCTACAAGTATAGATACATTGCTATAATGTAAACTAGAATGGCGTCACCCACTTTAATCACAACCCCATTAATTTAGTTAGTTATATAGCCCAAATACCTTAATTAATATTATCTTTTCTTTATCAAATAAAAAATAACGTTATTTTTGTTTTACAGGGGCGACAACAATAAATGAGAGATAGAAACATCGAATTTAAAAAATTAGTTTCCACAACTACCGTAGTATTGGTGAACCTAATTAGTCGAGCCATTAAGGGAAGAAAACACATAAACAATTGAAAAGAAACAAGAACATTTATTATAAAGAACAATTATTCTTTCGCGAATCATGTCGGATATAGATAACTTTAGACATTAGGCATAAGCTGTACTTAACGCAAAAAACTAATAAATAAAACATACGAGCAGCCTTATTCCTAGCACATGCACATATATACATACGAGCCAGAGACTTATTCATAGCACATGTACAACTACAGCTCTAAGACACATACACTTCTCTCTCTCTCTCTCTTTCTCTCATCAAGATTAGGGTTCTTGAGTTCTTGATGGAGAAGGAAGAATGCAGCAGTAGTGAATCTGGTTGGACGACTTATATTTCGTCTCCCATTAAAGTCGATGAAGATGAGGTCGTGGATGAGGACTATCATGAAGGGTATAACCTTTATAACTACTACAGAAAAGACGAAAACGAAGAAGAGAGGAACAAAGATAGCGATGATTCTATGGCCTCGGATGCTTCCTCTGTGCCAAATTATCAGCGCTATCACCAAAAGATCAACAAAGGTAGACGTAGAGAGACGTATGATTTGAAGAACGGGAGAAGTGAAGGTAATCCTAAGAGTAATGATGATGATATTGATCATAATCAATATGATGACGATAAAAAAACTAGTAATTCTTACAGGAAAAAAGAGAAAAGAAAGAAAGAAAGTAAGAGTTCCTATAGAAAGAAGTGATTAATGTTTGTATATTAATGATTTTATATGTAATTAGTTTTTGTATATTGGTGTTTTGGATTATAAATTCCTCATTTGTTTGGGGGTGTTTTTATGCCTCAAGGATATGAAGGTTGATTCGTTTATTAAATTAAGTTTATTTGATTTGGGATGTAGTTTGGTTGATATCGAGCTATAATGTTGTTTTTGATTTTAATTATTTGTTAATAATTTATGAATCTATTTTTATTAAAGAGAGAAAAGAAGTGATTCGTTACGACTGTTTTTTTTTTCCATTGCCATCTGAAATATATATCTACATATTAAAAATCATGAGAACAATTACATGAAAGATGCTAGTACGGACAATTCTATATGCTTCCATAATCAACGGTTCTTGTTACGCTTATGATGGACAACATAATACTTGACACTCTTGAAAAGCTCCACTTGTACCGTTCTGTAAATCTCCTGTAATTTTTTTTTTTAATGCATTAAGGGAATCATTAAGGGAAAATGAATTCTAGCTCCATCGTTCAAACATATGAGATATAAAAATTTAGATCCACAACTATTACTAACTAAAAATTCAAGATTATGTATATGAACTCATTTTAAACTAAAAAAAAAATGTCATCAACCATATTTAAGACTATAGTTCCTTCTAAGAATATGAGAGAGACAAATAAAAGTTAATAATGATGATGTATACTTGAAATGTTGTCATGTATTATATGTACATACTGTATAAAATTAAAGATCCAAAATGCATGTGTAGTGAAAGGTGTACTCTGAGACAAGCTCCAATTATTGTCAATATAGATTGGGACTTTAGAACCCAATTACTACGTAAAATTAAAGATTATGTATATATATGAACTAATTTTAATCTAAAAACATAATTCCATCAACTATTTTAAGATTTGAATTCTATTGAAAATAATGATACCCAAAAGTTGATGATGGTGATGATGAAAATGATGATGTCTAATTGAAATGTTGTCATGAAATATATGTACATATAAAAAGAGAAGAGAATGCATGTGTAGGGAAAGGTGTACTCAGAGACAAGTTCCAATTATTGTCAATATATATTGGGACTTTGTGTGTTTTGCCCAAAACTCTCTGAAAATCTTCTGATGTGAATAGTTTTGGGTGTAAAGAGAAAATGGATCCACTGCAGACACATGCCACCAACATGACAACTCTTCTACACAAACTCAATATTAAATCATTAATATATAAAATATTTCACTAATTGGAGCCAAAAGTAATGTGCTTAAATTTGTCATGATGCAAGAAATTATATGCTTCACCAATCATCATTATTTGGCAAGGATCCAAATGTTTGGAATAATCCGTTACTTCCGGATATAAAATAGTTTTTTCGATAAATTTTACTACTTTTGATTTGCGTGCCTATAATTTCATAAAAATAAACTATACAAAAGAGACTTACCAGAACAAAGCCGAATCTATAAATCTATATTGTGAATGCTGATATTCAAATAGATTTCACGTACAATTTGTAGAATATAGATACAACTTGACCACAAAATCGCTTGGTTAGGTCCATCAGATATGTATTGAATGATCATTTTTTGTGTTCTAAATTTTATTGAAATAAGAAAGTTTCTTAAACAACCAAAAACAGAGATAGAGGAAGAAAACAATATAGCATCAAATTCCTAATAAAAAGAATTACCTAGATGCTAAGTGAAGCCTCTCGTGAATGGCGGTCATAGAGCCACGCCGGACCTCCTAATGCGAAGTGTGATTGAAAGCGCCCATCCCGTATAACATTCTTGGAAATATCTCGAGCAATGGAATCGGACTGAGGCTTTTCTAGTACAAAAGAGCAATTATCGATCGAAGCCAGAACGAAAGCGGATGATATGCGCTTGATCAAAAGAATGGTACCTTGGCCATTCCAATAGCTTTGAAATAGCTTCATCTGCAGCTTTATATGAACCATAAGGGTTTCCAGTTATGTAACTATCGGGAGCGGACAGAACGATGTTATCAATTTTGGTTTGGTTTTCAGCATGATATTCATAAAGAAGATGAACATACACATAATATAAGTTCACTATAGCAAGAAAAAGTGGGAACTATCGGCAACCTTTCCCGATGATTTTTTTTTGTTTTTAAAGGTTCTGATGGGTACTCGTCGAAAAACGGTCATTACACGTGTTGTCGCTAGAACCATGCTTGACGAATTTTCGACGTGGTAGCCGTCCGAAATGGTCAATAAATATATATATATATATATATATATATATATATATATATATATATATGTTGAGCGATCTTCAAATCGAAATTAGTAGAACATAAAAGCAAAAAAAAAAGAAAAAAAAAATCCTATTGTCTTTTACTTATATATACAAAGTTAGATAGGAATATATAAATATTTGGATGAAGTTACAGGATAAATTAGGAAAGGCTATAAGAAGGCCTTACGGAGTTCATGCGTTTTGCTAGGGATCTGCAAGGTATACCCGAGACTATTTGGACAAGCTTAGAGGCTGAAGCAACGGCTTACGGCTCTTGTATGGGCAATGGCTTGGCTTGACAACTTGGGGGTTCGCAGAGATATGCTTTGAGAGTGACTAGCATATTCTGATTGAAACACTTCAAGAATAATCCTAAAATCTACTGCAAGAGCACAGCAATCGAAATAGTATTTTAGGTATCGAAATCTACAAGGACCAAGTATACGTTACGAGAATGCAGAAATAAAGTAAAGCTAAGCCTAATGACAGGATGTTTTATGGTTTTCAGACTTTCAAAAACTAAGAAAAACTAAGTAATGAGATGTAAATTCAAATGAGAAAAGCGTTAGGTCTTCAAATAATTCGCAGGAAATCAAGACTCACTAAACAGATTATCGAATAGGGAATGAATTAAGAACCGTTCTCGAACTCAAACATAAACGTCTAGCTAACCCACTGTCGTGGCACTAGCTACTATGTCTAATAACCTAAGAATCTAAATTGTCGTTTAACCTTAGAATTCTAGACATGCATTAAAGTTCTGGTTTGATAAGTTCACAAATCGCCTTAGCATCAGCTTTCGTTGGCTAAGGTCGATTTGGTCATCTAAGTTATGCTAGGAAATCTGAATCACTTTCATGTTTAGATTAATCCTAAGATCATAAACTAGGTGATCAATCTAGTCTAAGCTTTAAACTCAACAATAGATGAAGAACTCTATGTGATTCTCTAATCTAACAAATCCAATTTTGTGATCGATGAAAATCCTTTGAAACCCTAAAAACCTAACTGGAGAACAACTCCGACATAGAGGCAGATAAAACACAGAAAGATGGAGAAGAACTCATGATCAATAAAATAGAAATCCAAAAGGGTTCAGAAATCTTCTCAGAGATGTAGAGTCAGAGATTAGTCTCCCTAATCTTACAAATTGTCAAAAGCTCAAAAAGTCTGAATAGAATAGAATGTGTGTCCAGAAAAGTGATAAAATATGTTTAAATAGGTCTGCAGTCGTCCAGGGCCAAAATCAGAAGAATTTGGGCCGAAACAGGAAAAATCGAAATTTCCTTCTTCTCTGGGGAGGTGGAACGATCGTGCTGAAATATCTGGAACGATCATTCCAGCCTAGACAGATCGTGCCATACAGAATTGGTCGTGCTGGAAAATGTTTACAATTTCTGGCCGGATCATTCCAGCTGGCCGGCTCGTTCCAATCTTTTTTTCGCATTTTCTCCGTTTTTGCTCCTAAGTCTCCCAACTCCGTCCTGAAACGTTTTCTGACCTGAAATGACTCTAAAAAGACTAAAAGACTCGAAAAACACTCAAAAAATCAGGTTAGAATGCTTTAAAAACGCAACACATCACTGATACAGGCTGTTGAATCTGCCCAAGATTGGCCGTGACTACTGTAGGACCAAAATATTGAACACTACGAAATAGCAATTGAAATATGAGTTTTAGAAAATAAACGTTAAGGAAAATAGAAATGAGTGGAGGCGAGACTATGATCTCTTTCCTTAACTCTTTCACTACAAGAAAGAGGGGCTTTTCCGTCGAATTATTTACGACGATTTGTAGTCGTCGTAAATTTACGACGACATTACGTCGTATTTACGACGATCAAAAATTTCGTCGTAAATTCGACGTAAAAAATAACCCTCGTAAAATCGTCGTAATGTTACGACGATTTTACGACGAATAAAGAACGAATTTTATTTCGTCGTAATCTTGTCGTAAAATTTACATCGATAATACGACGAATTGTTCTCTATCTAGTAATTGACGTAAAATCGATGTAAATGTTATGTAAATTTTATTTCGACGTAAATTTGATGTAAATATGCAATGGTAATATGTTGGTAGCCAAACAAAAAATTCTATATATACCCTTTCATCTCTCATTATTCCATCATCCCAAAAAAACATATAAAGACACAAATTTTTTGAGTCTTTGAATGTTTAAGTAAAATTTTTGGTAGTTGAAATTTCTATCAAATTTCAGAAACAAAAAGTCAAATTTTTGTTTTTGAAATGTCTATATACGATCTACGAAAGTGGATGTATACGCCCAAAAATGGTGATGGGTCGTTGACTGAAGACTTCAAAAACGGATTGGAAATATTCATGTACCAAGCCGCCCTTCTGGAAACTGTAATTGAAAGCGGCAAAATGTATTGTCCTTGTGTGAAATGCAAAAATAGGAAACATATTCTTATTGACACTGTCTGGCAGCATTTATTGAATAGAGGGTTCATGCCCCAATACTTTATTTGGTATCAGCATGGAGAGGGATATGGTCAAAGTAGTGGTCAGATGGCTGCACGGAGTAGTAGTAATCATCAAGAACATGTGGATTTTGAAGCGTCCAATGATTATCAAAGTAGTCAAGTTCAGGGTGAAGATCATGATAGGATGCATGAAATGATTACTGATGCATTTCATGAAACACATGCTGATACTGTTGAGGAGCCCAATGCAGATGCGAAACGCTTTTATGATATGTTAAACGCAGCAAAACAGCCTCTG